ACGCTGCCCACCCCGCCGCCTCTGGCGTTTTGGAGAGGCGGCCGTATCCCGTGCTGGGTGCACTAGCTGTCCCTGGGCAGTGGTCCCGCAAGGGGGTGGGAGCAGAAGCCACAAGCTGGCCTTAGAGTGCTCTGAATTGATTCCTCATCCTCTTCCCCCTCCCCACCCTGGGAGCCAGGATCTCTCTCGTGCAGGACACAGACACTGGAATCTACACCTGCGTTGCAGCCAGCCGGGCGGGAGTCGCAGAGCGAAGCTTCGTCCTACAGATCCAGGGTATGAGGAGAATGTCCTTCCTCTGTGTGCCTGAGGGGCCTGCTGGGGAGGGCAGAGCCTCGGGAAAGGGGCGGCTGGGGTGAGGCAGGAAGACAGGCCGGGCGCAAGCCAGCATCATTTTTCAGCTGGAAAGAAGGTGGAAGCCTGGAGAGGGGCTGGAGAAACGCACGCTGTGGGGGGCAGGGGGGTGGAGGAGACACGGGCTGGGAAATGTGGGGAGGAGAAATTGGTTACAGGCAGATCTGGGGGGTAGCTAATTAGCTGGAGGGGATTGCTGGAGAAGAAATGAGCCAGGGAAATGCAGGGTGTGGTGGGGAACCAACGTAGAGGGAGAGTTTGTCCAAGTGCTGGCTGGTGAGCTGGCTGGAGACGAGGACCCGCCTGTTCCTGTCCGGAGGCTGGAGGAGTGGCAGGACAGACAGCTGGGACAGACCCCGGACAGCTGACCAGTGGCCACTGCGGCAGAGGGTGTTTGGAGGTGTCTCCGCTAGCTGCGAATGACGCTTGGCAGAGTCACGCTCTGTTCTGCTGCCTTGGGCAGCCTGGCCCCTGATCAGGCTGTCAGCATCCCAGAGGGAGGGGGGCAAAGGTGTGAGCTGAACACGACAGGCGAGGCCTTCTCTGGCCTCAGCTCCAGACACCTGCCGCTTCTGCCTCCCCCAGCACCTCCCACCCTGGAGCCCTCGGAGAGCAGCGAGGCCGTGACCGCAAAGACCAACTCCTCTGTGACCTTCAGCTGTGCAGCCAGTGGGTCGCCGCTGCCCATGCTGACCTGGCTGAAGGATGGCGAGCCCCTGACTCTGCAAAACAACCTGGTGCCCAACAGCCCAGGCACGAAGCTTCACCTGGAGTCGGTGCAGCCTGCCGATTCAGGGGTCTACTCCTGTGTTGCTGAGAACGAGGCTGGGGGAGTGAGCAAGCACTTCCACCTCTCTGTCATGGGTATGTGCCTAGGAGGTGAGGGGGGCAGGAGGAGGGATGGGGGGCAGGCAAGGAGACTGGGCTGATAGGGCTGAGCTGGGGGGCAGGAGCTGGGGCACAAGACATCACCGGGCCCTGGGCAATGGAGCAGGGAGTAGTGGGCTCGACTCTGGGGCCCCCCGAAGGGGTGGGGCCTCAGGCAGAATGGGTGGGGGAAGGGCAGCCATTCCTCGGTGTCCCCAGAGCATGCGCCTCCCCCACCCAGCCCTCAGCCTTGAGCGGGGCTCCAGCGGTGATTTAAAGGGCCTGGTGCGCCAGCCCCTTTTGAATCTCTGAACCCCAGGGCAACTGCCCCTTTGCCGCCCCAGCCGGCGGCTCTGCCCAGTCTGTTCTCTCCCCGGTGCCCCATTCAACTCTCCAGTTTTCTGGGCACTATAGGCCATCTCACCCCGGCGCCTCCCTTCCCACTAACACCAGCCCCAAGGGCCTTCCCCTCTGCCTGCCCGCCTTGTCCAGAGCACGGCGGTGAAACCAGCCCTGGTCTGCCTTGCAGAGCCCGCGCGCCTGGCGGATTTGGCCCCGCCCACGGAGATCGCTGCCGCCATTGGCGCGCCCCTCGAA